ACCTTCCTTCCGAGGAGTGGCTGGTGGGTTTGAACCGCCAGCCGTCTGGTTAGCAGGCAAGTGTCTTAACCACTATGCTACCAGAGCTCCCTTACAGAATATATACAAAGTTATTAATGTTGCCATGCTAAGCACTTTAATAATACTAATTTAAAATTTCAGAAGTCAAATAACACACAGTACTGAAAACAGGGTCTCATACACAGTTGAACTTAATCAACATTTTAACTATCATTTTTATTACCTGGTTTCCCTAACCTGTGTCTTTCTCCCTGGTGGCATAGTGGTTAAGCACTCACCTGCTAACCAAAAGGTTGGTGGTTTGAACACACCAGCTGCTCTGTGGTTGAAAGATATGGCAAGTCTGTTTCTGTAAAAATTACAGCCTTGGAAACTCTATAGGACAGTTCTACTCTGTCCTATAGAGTCGCTATGAGTCGGAATCAACTCCATGCATGCCAAGGGGTTAGTCCTTCTCCCTGAAACCAAGATCAGAATTCCAACGCTGTGGTGGTTACAAAGATCAAAGTTTCTGTTAAAAGCCATATAAAAGATGAGTCTGCTTGTAAAAAATTTAAAACTCCCTTTAAAGTTGAAGGGAATATTGATGGCCATTGTGGATGGCTTGAAGTGGAAGCTACTATAGGACAGGGGCAAACGGAATATGTCCTGGGAATTTGCTACCTGCCTCTGTGTCTGGGCTTTTCTCCCCATTTTGGGGCAGAGCATTCAGACTCTGGAAGTCCCCAGACCCTGGGACATGGAGCCTCGGATGTTCCTGGGAACACTAGGCCTCGGTCCCCCTGCAGGTAGCTTTGCAGTCTGGGGTGGCCTGTTCTCCACGATCGACTGTGGCTTGGTGCGACTGCGAGGCAAGGAGGATCCCTGGAACTCCATCACAAGTGGAGCACTGACTGGTGCTGTGCTGGCAGCCCGCAGTGAGTACCCCTGGCCCCAGCCCCTGGCCCCTTCCACCCTATTCTACCTTCCCTCACTGCTGTCTTTTTGCCCCCCCCCACTCCAGGTGGCCCACTGGCCATGGTGGGCTCGGCCATGATGGGGGGCATCCTTTTGGCCCTCATCGAGGGTGTCGGCATCCTCCTCACTCGCTACACTGCGCAGCAGTTCCGCAATGGTGAGTGCCTGGTGAAAGCTGGCCAGGGAGGGGTGGCAAATGCTCCACCTATCCTCCTCTGCTTGCCCTTACCTGATTCTCCCTTCCCCAGCACCCCCATTCCTGGAGGACCCCAGCCAGCTGAACCCAAAGGAGGGTGCCCCAGCCCCAGGCTATCCCAGCTACCAGCAATACCACTGAGGAAGTGACTGCCTAACGCCACCACCGTCTGAGCCCCTTCTCGGTTCCCTCCCCAATGATCTACCTCGAAGGGAGGGCTGGCTCCCAATTGGCCCTAGGACCCTCTGGAGAGGGTTTCTATTCTAGTCCCTTGTCCCAGGGTGGGGGTGGGGCATTCCAGCTGCCCTGACGGAAGGATGGATCCCCTTTTTCTCTCTCAGGGCACCCCAGCCCCACACTCACATGTAACAAGCTCATACCCCAACCCCTTTGTGTGGTGCCCTAAAGAGTATTTAAAGCCAGTTTTGAAATGCCTATTTATGCACTCCTCGAACCACCTATGGGAGCCTCTCCTCAGACGAGGGGCAGAGCTGTAGGACTTGGAGTCCCATAGAGAGTGGGCTCTAGTAAATATCTGTGGGGTGAATGAGCAGGAGGAGACATGAATCAACATGAGATACATGTATGGGGAGTGGGGGTCAAGTGATTAATCATACACAGAAGAACACATTTGCAAAGGAGTGTGTGAACAAGCATTGCAGGGGTGGTGGTAATGGTATGGTTCTGTACCTTGCATCCCTGGCCCCCCAACACCATTGACCCCTCTTCATACATCCCCATCCACAAGGCTGGGAAATCTGATCTCGCAAGGAGCTTCTCCTTTCTAAATACCAGTCACTCTATCTGGGAAGATAATTCTCCTCTATGTGGCCTCATCATGGACCTGGGATGGAAATGTGGTTCAGGGAGACCTGGCTTCCTCAAAGTCTATGTCTTCTGATCTCTGATGCTCAGAGTTGACTATCAGCGTTTTTTTTTTTTTCAAAGGCAACTACAAAGAATCAGAAAAGAGTTTCATTTTGGGGTAGGAAGGTTATGGGAAAGAGGTTTTGGGGATACTATTCCCAAACACTGTCACTTCTGTGTAAAACCCCTGCAAGGGTGGGGCAAACATTGTCTCCTCTATGCAGATGGCTTCACTGAGGTACAGATGCTGTCCTCTCTTTGCAAAGGACTCCATAGACGTGGAAAATGGCAACCCGGTCTTATCCATGCACATAGTTCACAGAGGCATAAACGTCCTCTTAGTGCAAAAAGCACAAAAGCCTCCAGAGAGGAGTCAACCATTTTCTCCACATAAATGGCTCCAGTGGGCAACTGCATTTCATGCAGGTGGTCTCATGGAGACAAAATGTCCCTATCCTGCAAACCATTGCAAAGAAGTGGAAACCTCTCCCCTACAAAACCAACACATGGGGTCACAAGTACGGGGTCCCTGGGTCTCGCAAGACCTCAGCAGGGAGCCAGTGGGGACAGAGCTGTGACAGCACCTCACTTGAGTAACTCAGGTGTCAGGCAGTGCATAGCCACCTGACCGAGGGCTCCAGCCTGCTGGCCCAGGTGAGGGCTCTGTGGGTTAGCAGGTTCCATGCACACAGGTCTCAGGGCTGGAACCTCGAACCTGCAGCTCCTCAGGCATGGAAGCACAACCACATGCATGCCTCTGTTGGACTCAGGCACCAGTCAGACCCAGAGTATCCAAGGCTGCCACCCTTCTTGTGTTTCTAAGGCCACCTCCTTAAGTCCTGCCCTCTCATGAGCCTCCAAGGCCCTACCCATTTTTCTCTAGACCCCATCCCCCTGTATTTCCAGGTCTTATGCTGATCCTGTCAAGCACTGTCCTACTAACTCCTCCAGGTCTTTACCATTCCCTCAGGTTGCTATAGTCTCCATACCCTCAAGTCTCCAGGACCTCCAGGCTCCTCCATCTCAGATCTCACCCCTGTGTGTTTCAGTGCTGTTCTCCATGGCTCCTTCAGGCCCTTCCTCCTTTCTATATAGACTCAAGCTCCTTTCAATAAGGAGCTCTGGTGGCACTGTGGTTAAGGCAGTGGGCTGCTAACCAAAAGGTAGGTGGTTTGAACCCACCAGCCACCCCATGGGGGGAAGATGAGGCAGTCTACTTCCACAAAGATTTACAGCCTTGGAAACCCAGTGGGGGTCACTATGAGTGGGAATCAAGTCAATGGCTGTGGGTTTGGGTTTTTTCTTTAGTTTGGTGGCACAATAGTTAAATGTTGGGTTGTTAACCGAAAGGTCAGAGGTTCGAACCTGCCCAGTGGCTCCATAGGAGAGAGACCTGGCAACTTGAGTGGCTCTGTAGAAGTAAGACTTGGTGATCTGCTTCTGTGAAGATTAAGGAAAAAAAAAAAAAAACCCACTGCCATCGAGGCAATTCCAACTGATAGTGACCCTCATAGGGTTTCCAAGGCTGTAAATCTTTACAGAAGTAGACTGCCTCATCTTTCTTCCATGGAGTAGTTGGTAGGTTCTAACCACTGACCTTTTGGTTAGCAGCCATATGCCTTAACCACTGCACCACCAGCCTAGAAAACTCTATGGGTACTGGAATAACACTAGACACATAGACCGATTGGATAGAATTGAGAGACCAGAAATAAACCCACACATCTATGGCCAAATGATTTTTTACAAAGGTGCTAAGTCCATTTGACAGAGAAAGAAGAGTCTCTTCAATAAATGGTGCTGGGAAAATTGGATTTCCACATGCAGAAAAATGAAACAGGATTCTTCATACCATACACAAAATTCAAAATGGATTAAGGACCTAAATGTGCAAACTAAAACCATAAAATTCTTAGAACAAGCAGAGGCAATGCTGTCAGGCTAGCTTTCAACAATGGATTATCTAAGAAAATAAAAGCACAAACAGCAAAAAACAAATGAGACCTTATAAAAATTCAAAATATTCATTGAAATACTTTATTAAAGAAAAGTGAAAGACAAGCTACTGATTGGGAAAATATCTTTGGAAACCATATATCCGACAATCTGATAACCAGAATACATATAAAACTTTGACAACAGCAAAAAGACAACTCAGTCATAAAATGGGCAAAGGACATGTCACCAAAGAGGACATTCAAATGACCCCCAGACAAATGAAAAGATGTTCAACATCATTAGTCATGTACCCACTCACTGCCATCGAGTCGGATCTGACTTACAGCAACCCCTCGAGTTTCTGAGACAGTGTCACTACGGAACTAGATTGCCCAACCTTCCTTCCAAGGAGTGCTGGTGGGTTTGAACCAAGATGCAAATTAAAACCACAATGAGATACCATTTCATTCCCACTAGGATGGCTAAGATAAAAAAATAAATAACAGGTTGGTAAGGATGAAGGGAAATTGGAACTCTTATCTATTATTGGTTGGGAATGCAAGATGGTACCAGCTATTGTGGGAAACAGTGTGATGGCTTCTCAAAAAACTATAAAACTACCATATGGTTCAGCAATTCCACTCCTAGTTATATACCCAAAATATCTAAAGGCAGAACCTCAAGCGACTGGTACACTCATGTTCATTGCAGCACTATTCACAATAGCCAAAAGGTGGAAACCAGTTAAATGCCCATCAACAGATGAATGGATACACAAAACGTGGTACATATATACAATGGAATACTACTCAGCCAGTAAGAGAAATGGAAGTCTTAAAACATGCTACAGTGTGGATGGAGCTTGAAGACAATGCTGACTAAAATATACCAATCACAAAAGAACAAATATTGTATGACCTAACTTATGTAGAAAGGCAAATATAGAGAGACCAAAGTTTATTAGTGGTTACCAGGGGTGGGAGGGAAAAGGGGGATTAGCAGTGATGGGGAAATCATATTGATTAAAGGAGCTCTGGTAGCATAGTGGCTAAAGCACTTGACTGCTAACCAGAAGGCTGGCGGTTCAAACCCACCAGCCACTCCTCGGAAGG